CCTTCTCTTGCCCAAGGACTTATTGGAGGGCTAAGATTTCACTTAATGCTAAAAATTTGTCAGAGAAATCAATATGATTCTTCTGATCTAATCACAAAAAGTAATGAGTATTTTCAGAATTTGGACTATGACAAACTTCTCAATTTACTTAGAGAAATAGACCTTCCGAAAACAAAAAAATGAATTTGTTTTCTTCCAACGGAAACTTTTAAACTTATGACAAAAAGAAAAGAACATTTTCAGCAAAAAGGTAACTTGATGCAAATCGTTGAACTTCCCTTAAAAGATAACTTCCAGGTAATATTTGCAGAAATAAGCTCTCCTTTAATAACTTATTTTGTTGATGACTTATTTTGCCAAGAAAATTGAAACAATATTGGAAAAGATTCTCTATTTCTTTTTGCTAAAATTCTTTACAAAATAACAGAAGTCAAGGGTAAAATGATAGCGTTGTTAGTGAAGAATAATCCGCCAAATAAACCCACTTTGTGTAGATAATGTTTAGAAAGTAGAAAAAAAGAAATGGTGCCTTTATGCCGAGCCAAAATCGAAAATACTCCACAAACTGGTTTAGACCATCCTAGCAAAATTCAGTTCATTTACCCTTTTGTTGTTGATAAAGAGCGTTTAAAAAAGCATTTAGGAGTAGCCAGTAGGGAAATCATGGAGCAGGCCAAGGTAGCTTGAATAACTGCTTTTGCGGTGGAGGAGTGATAAGTTAGGAAGCAAAAAGTAAGTTAGGTCGTAAGTAAGTTGCCAATTAAGATTTAAGCAAAAAAAGCCCTGTTAGCAAAGCCAAACTGGCTGAGGAATATTTATTAGCAGCTAAACAATTAGCTTGGTTAGTGGGAACTATTATTTGCGTTTGAGTTGGGGTGGCTGTATTATTCAAAGGCGTACTTTGTTTTTTACTATCCACTTGATAACCGTAAATTCCTTGCATTTTGCCCGTAGCATTATATTTAAGTTTGAAGTAGCGATAATCTCCCTCATCTTCAAATATTAATTCATAAGGTTTAGTTAATGCTTTTAAATATTCTGAATATTTATCTGGGTAAGATTTGATTTCTTTTAATATATCGTAAGGGTCAAAAATAAAAAGATTACCGTGAGAAGCACACTTAAAAACAAAAAAGCCACCAACATTAATGTTAGTGCTAAAATCCACATCATAATTGGCTTCTTGTAAAAGAAAAGT